CTTACTTAATGAAGATTTTTGAATGGAGTTTTCAGCTACAATTGTGTGTAATCCGCATAGTTTTAAATATATCATACGAACTCTCGCCTACCACAACAAAATAAAGGTATTTTTAGGAATTACGTTTAGTGTCACTATTTCTCTTAATTTTTTTATGTAAATTAACATTTATTATATGCAATGTCGTCATAAAGGATTCATAAAAACAAATTATAATGATAAAATTTAATTAATAAAAGGATAACTTTTATTAATGTTTATTTGTCTGCTATATTAGTCTTAATCCAAACCGACACTATCTAAAAAAATGATTGTATTTTTCACGGAGTTAATAGTAAACGGTTCGACATCTTAGCGATGGCTGTCACTACTAAAAAAATGTCGGTATCGCGCTGTCCCCTAGGCCCCGTTCTTCTTATACAGCATAATGTCACTACGTCATCTAAGCAGTTCTCGGAAAACTACGTTCACGTGGGTTTTTGCAATATAAAATTCGTACTCTCAAATTCAAGAGGCAAATTACAAATTAAAAAAATACGGTTTTTGTATAGTGACCTTATCATTATCAATGTGTGATATTATTGTGTTACAAAGCATTTACAATTACAAGTTTGTGAAATTCGCATTGTATAGCTAGATAAAAGTTTTAAAATCACGTTACGTAGTCCTTAGTTTTACACATATACATACTTTGTAGATACCAAAAAATATTGAGAACGTTTACGTGCGTGCACATGATGGTTTAATTGCGCAGGTTATCCATAAATTCGGTCACTGACTTTTCTATTTGGGTCATTAAGTTTGGGAGAACCTGTACACCTCAGTGCGCGAGGATGTTTACATATAATATAATATAAGGATAAAACTAAGATATATATATAGATCCCTGCAGCAGATCCCTGATATATATATAGATACTCTGCATGGTAGAAATGCGTACAAGTTCAAAGAGGAGGTACCTACTACCTTAATCCAGGTTTAAATCTTACGCCACCATTATTTTCAACATCGATAACGATCACTTTTTTCTTTCTATCTAAGTAATCGGATATCATGTGAGATGCACACAAGCAGATTTACTATTACAGATTTCTAGACCAGACCAGATGTCGAAGTAGTGGAGACTATTGTTTAGTTCCTATTTCATGACACAAAATAAAATTATCTAACTAGGACAGTAAAAATATGACAGATCATTTCTATCTTAGGGAATTTATTAGATAATGTCAACGAAATATGTACGGGCTATCAATAACAACAATGTTATCAAATTCGTCTCACTTTCTAACAAGTTGACCAACTTGACAAGATAACGTTGCAAGGCTATCTTATCGTTTATTTTTCCGATAATGCCCGTATACTTACACCTTGTTTTTAGTGTTATGTGAATATTAATAGAGCCGGTTGCATCTGCATTATAAAATGTTAATCTGTTGTGTTTTGTGTATCGTAATTGGCTCAATTGTCTGTCATCCATCCTAAAACACCCCCAAATATGATAGAAGTAATGCCACAAAGGTTTCCAAAGTGGCCTTCCGTGTATTAGGTACTTTGATTTGATTAATATGTGTTGTAATAGTAATTAAAATATCACTGTGATATGAATTTTTATGACTCATCAAAGATAAAAGCATACTTAATATGCGTGAAGTCTATTGTCCTGGTAATAGCTTTCTAGTTATGACGATGTTATCGATAATATTTTATCGACTAGCTCTCTACACGCGAGACGTAAACCGTAATGTTATGCTCACTTGCCCACCAAAAACCGTTTTAATCATCATTGTAAGTAGCATAAATTTTATTTATTAGTATTTCTTGTAACTAACGACCAGTTACTGAATTAAGTTGTGAAGTAGTCAACGACGCCTACCGCTTCTTTTATTACCTAGATTTTTAATCGTAGTTACGTATTGCAGGTGCTAGTAATGCATATTGTACAATAGTGTAAAGTTTGAATGTTTAAATTGGACATTGTTATAGTCTCTTTGGAACGGTAAACCGAATTCGTCGGTACCAAGTGAGGGCGCGTTCCCATTATGTCGTAACGTTTTATTTATCGTTGGACGACAGTCGCGTCTAGCATGTTCCGATATCACGACTAGCTGTCGTAACTGTATCGTGGACATTTATTTTGTCGTTGAACGACTGTCGTGTCTAGCTGTTCCCAGTAGATCGTGACGAAAATTTATCGGTTCACGGCAACCGCCTTGTCGTTTGTACGACGAATCAAAACTAACGTAGAAAGATATGGAGGTAGTTTGTCTAGGTAACGTTATAAAAGTCGTGAATAACTTCATTTAAATATACAAACCACGACACTTTATACTGCACGACTATCTGTCGTTACGACATAATGGGAACGCGCCCTTATGGGACGAACAAGTCGTGCGCCTGGTGGTAATCGACACTCCTGTCCATAACAGTTGCGTGCCCCTCAATCACAAAGATTTGAGGGGCAGTACCACTGCGTACGTCATCTGGAGACATAAGTTAACAAGTCCCATTGCCTGTAATTACACCAGCAACTTTACCCTTCAAAACCGAAACGCACTAATGCTCACATTACTGTTTGACGGCAGAACTAGGTAAAGTGGCAGTACTTCCTTGGACGAACTCTTTCACAAGGCTGCTACTTCTGCTTCTAAAATGACGTATGTAACATGAAATATGACCCAAAATTCTAATAAATGTGCGCTATGCTACATAAAGACGTATCATGAGTTTTCAACTCAAACGTGCTATTTCTATACGAATGTTCGTAAAAAGCAGAAGAACAACGCAATCGGCAAGAAAGCTTTTATCAGTTCTACTCAATATATGCCCGAAACACGTCGCAAACGTTCGCAATATCCGATGGAGTGTGCTATTCGTTTAAGTGCGTTGTAATTACTAATTTCCTCCACCAATATACGAAGTTTCTACACTATTTAGGTTAAGTTTCTCGGTAATTTTCATTCTATGGTTTTTTTTTACGAAATTGAGGTGTTTTAGAATTTTCTATTGATTATAATAGTTTGCAAAATCATGTAATAACATAAATAAGGTTTTTTATTACCATCGCTTAAGATTCCGGATAGCAAAATTTTATATTATCATGTTATAAAAAAATATGAATTTGAAATATAACGTTTATGGCAGGCAATAAATGTCTAATATAGTGGAGAAACTATTGTACCACAGAACGGTGAAAATCGAGTAATAAAAGAAAATACCGCTCTTGTGGTGTCTTATATAAAAGTGTAATTTAAAGACCACTTTCGCAATGAATGCACGATAAAAGTTATTATAAAAAAAATATATACTTAATTTTTACGACACTATTAATTTCATTGCCTATGATCACATTTTGAATGGGCTTCGTTTCCGTTTTTTATTAATACTTTATTAAAACCATTTCCTTTTGTGTTGTAATAGGGAACAACTGTTGCTCAACATGTTAAGCAATATGCTCCCAGTTTGGCAGTATTGGCCTTCATTCATAAGCGATCAAATCGCCAATATACACTACCAATTAACGTCGAGATTCCATAGTCCACTACTTAACGCTAATCGTTCGAAACCTACTCATTTGATCCGTATCCATTTGGCACGCCATCCGCAACTAGTATATTCTTTTCACCATTCAAATATCGACTTTATTTGTCTACTTACAAAGCATTTATTGATGCCACCAGTCTTTGTCGCCTATTGTTTCTATAATTGTTGCTTGGATACATTAAAAATCGGTTATAAGGTCAGACGCAATGTTGTCCCGAGAACGAAAGAAGTCTGATAGAGTGAAAATGTCTGGCGAAATGCCGTCAACTTTTCTCGACTCGAATTCGGAACAGTGAGTCAACAAATACTTTTTCGAAGAGCTGTCGACTTTCTTTCAAAGGTTTTATTGGCCACGTAATTGGACTGTAGGAAATTGGATAAGAGGTTTTAGATTTTTCCTTTCCGTGAAAGAACTTTGACACCTAAGGGTGGTTCAATTAAAATTTTTATTCTGTTCAAACAGAGAACATTATTCAATGTAATTTATTTGAATTTAACATCTGCATCGTATTTTTTACGATAAAAAATAAGGCAAATCTACAGATCTAATAGATAATAACACTACAATTTTTTCATAAGTCTGTAGGGATTATTTTCAATTCTCTAATGTATCAATCAGAAAGTGTGATTTCTCTCACGAATAAGGAAAAGAGAAAAGTGATTCAATGATTGAAAATTGGATCAGTTAATGTTTCTACCATTTCTCATAGGCTTGTCTATTGTATGAAAATTATTATGTCCAATTTCACAACCGAAAATTTGCCGTCCGTCCTTTATCGGATTTGTGCGAGCTTTTCAGACTCAAAATTGACTTTAAAGGATAATAGGATTATGTCGAACAACGAGTAACTTTGATAAAGAATCTTCAAACTTTGATGAACAATCTTCAAAGTTACTACTTTTCGAATCAAAAAGTGAAGTCTGTGTTTTGATCCTTTTTTGACGTTAAACGAATTTTCTGGAATTGGTAACCTATGTAATGCAAAATGCTCTACTCATTACGACTAATTGAATGATTGCCTTTATAACTTGTTTATCTACTTACGATTTGATAAATAGGATTGAAAGCCGTTCTAGCATGATCTTCACGATCGATTTTATTCGAACTTTTTATCTGCTCTCATTGTGGTTCTTCCGCTGCCCACACCTACTAAACCCGTTTGATATGGTAATCAATCGCCATTATAAAGCTTTTTTTTTTGTGGAACACGTGTTAGCTACAACACTTTCTCCCTAATCTTATTCGTAATTTAGAGACATGCCCGCCTCTACGTGATTGGAATATTTCCTACTTTTCGTCAGACTTGCGTGTCTCTTCTTAACTTGAAATGTTCGTCGCAGTTTCTTTGCTAACTCGATAACATTGTTGAGCCCAATTAAAATTGAGTTTTTTACAGTTACTAACAAAACAAGAGAATCAAAATGCAAAAGTTTTATTTTCTGGAACTTATCCTAAAAGTGGTTACTGCGTCTTGTTTTGAGGTGTATTGTACTCATTAATCCAGGTATTAATTTCCCGTTACTCATTTCTTCGTAAAAGAGTCATTGTCCTTATCTGTGAGTGGCACAGGTCAAATCTGCCATCGAACCTGCACCCTAAGAACGTATTGCGATTCCTTAGGCTCAGAACCGGCTTCCGCATGACGTGTCCGCGTGCGACTAATGGGCTCTCGGCGTGCCAGTAACGTTCCTCGCGCCGCGCCAACAGGTGCTCCGATACGTACTCCCAGTGTTTTCTGCTGTCCTGGTACTCTGATATTTTTGCCGCAACAATAATATCGACTTTTCTGACTTAAGTGTTTGTGTCTTTAGTGATTTTATTGCCAACATTCCCATTAAACATCTTGGATCTTATATTTCTTCAAGGTATTATTATATCTGTATATGTGCTTATGTTTAAAAAAAACACACGTTACGTTGAAATTTAATATACTATAATTACTTTTACTCGGTAACTCGTATGGAACCATATTAGTCTCACACGATATCAACGATTCAACAATTGATTCGTAATGTTATGGTATGGTTTTATTGAGTACTAATTGTAGGTACTAATGCAGCTTTTTAGTGTCCCATAAGTGTACTGCGTATGCCTGATAATCACTACAAAACCATTGTAGCGATTTGTGTCATTTGGCTACTATAACAAAAATAAAATGCCCGATTAACGAAAGCCATTGCAAGGCCATCTAACAATCTTCTATATTGACAAACCGTATCCTGATAACGGTATATTTGCAAGTTTAAGGTAATGTAGAAGCTACCAAACAGATTTTAAAATTTTTACGTTTGTGTAGGACGTAATCCCACATTTCGATTCATTAATGACCAACTCAAGTAAAAGAAGTTAAATACCAACGAAGCTGACGGATATGAATTATCTGTAACAAACAGTATCAAGTCGAAGTATGTCCGCAAGTAAGTAAGAGAGGACGTCATACATTCCTTTCGAGGACAGCGTGAAATTGATTCACGCCGAAACATGGTCCTCATTTCTATTGCTTTTGATAACCTAGTTTGGAATTCTTTACACGTTTAATATTATTAATAAGGATGGACCACTCCCCAATATAAACAGCAATGTGACATTATTTCAAACCGCTATGTATCTAACATTTATAGTTTTGAATAAAGTATTACTAGAGAGATACGCTGTTGTTTAGGAATGTATAAAAATGTAATAATATTACGCAAAATAACATAAATGGTTTCTATTATGAACGATTATAATAAATGAGATCCTAAGTACATGTTATTTGGAAGAAAAATTGAATTCATACGATTAAAACAATGAAAGCATTGTTTGAAATAACGTATGTTTTACATAGAAAAGTTATTTTCATTTATGAATACTTACGTCATCCGTACCTAACGCCATTATCGCATTGTAAACCTAAAATATAATTTGGTATTAATATGTATGATCTCAAAGGTTAAATGCTGATAAATATGGCTTAAGCGAGGCGTATTTAAATAGTCGTGTCATCGAACTAGGTGCCATGACAAGTTCTTCACACTAAGCTTATTATAAAATATTGTAAGATCCACTTGTCTTATACGAAACATTTAAAAAATTGGTAAATTCTGCGGAGAACTTTTGGATTCAGACCCAAGGTAGTAAAATGGCAAGTGCAGTTCAACGGAGAGCCAAATCATTTTGATGATACTTTCAAATGTTCCAAAACTTTTCGAAGAGATGTGAAATCTCAGAACATTTGGTTCAGTCGAAGCTTGGTGGACCAAAGTAACTAATAAACAATCTGTTAGTACCAGGCTTGTGCAGAACAGTTCAACGTATGTATATATGGCTTGATGCAGTACATTAGGTGCTTTATGTCCTTCAACTTTCTGTTTGCTGTATACGAATGAGTTTTGGCGTATATTTAATTCAAAGCATGGATATTTTTTTCATTTTTACTGGGTATTATTTTAATGTTCTTCTGTTTTGTTTTAACGTTTTCTATTGTTGAAAAGTAAAATAGACGAGCAAAAAAATAAAAATATCACGTTTCCTAGACAATAGTCTCAGTCTCAATGGTTTATTTATTTGTTCGTATTCATCATTTCTTTATATGTGATGTGACAAAATACTATCGTACTATTTAAAACATCCAAAACGATGTATCTAATGTAGCCACTAGACTTATTAAAGCTGAATCGGCTTGAGTTGGCCAGAAAAAAGTTTTTTATTCGTGCAATGAAAGCGAAAAGGCATTGCGCATTTCGCCACAGCTCGTATCGTCGACGCGAAAAGCACGTCCTTTTTACTCTTATTACGTGTATATAAAGCTTTTTCGGATCGGCTTAATGCGATTCCGTGTCATTAAGTGTAGTGACTCCCTAACACGTTATTTCTAGAATTAGTGAAAACACACGAAGGTTAGGAAATGAATCAAAAATGTCAGCGCTGATTCATTTTCTGTAATGGTTTTAAGCAATTTCCCTGTCAGCGACGTATACATCCAAAATTATATATATTCACGAGTATATGATATTGTATAAATACTTATATATTTTTTTATGATACCAAGTGGTGGGGCGAACAAGTCGTGCGCCTGATTGTAAGCGACACGCCCGTCCATTTGCAGTGCCACTCAGAGACTTACGGTCGTATTCTAGAACTCTACTCAATGCTCAAGTCAGGATTTGAGCAGACTTGAGTATGATTTCAAGAACTGGAAATACGACCCTAATGGCAAGGACTTGAGTATGATTTTCAGTGCTCACTGCAATACTCAAGTCCTGACTTGAGTATTGAGTAGAGTTCTAGAATACGACCCTTAAATCGCAAAGATCTGAGAGGCACTGCCACTGCGCTCGTCACCTTGAGACATAAGTTGACAAGTTCCATGTGCTTATAATTTCACAAGCACTCTTACCCTTCAAAACCGGAACGCAGTAATGCTCACATTATAGTAACGCTCTGTCACAAGGAGCTCTGCTGCTACTAAAACAATACAAACGTAGCTGTGTGGTTTGCACTAGTGCACGCCAGCCGCGTGGCTTGTACGAACGCACACATTCATATATTCTCGCGATGCATTCACGTAGCATAGCACTGGTCGTCGCAGTCCCCTTTCATTATTATGAGAATGTGTGCACGGTGTATCCGTACACGCGCGGCGTGTGTGCACACATACAAGCCGCGATGCTACTTTGTATTTAGTTGTCATACTTGTTTTATCATACTATGGTGAAAGTGTTTGAAATATCCATTACAAAATACATTTTTAATAGTAATTGATACACAAATACGAAATACGTATTTGTTTAGTAATTCAAATACGGTTCAGTCCTGGTTACACTTTCCTTGCCAAGGTACGATTGATCGTTCAATAAATAACCAGGAAAGTCATAAAATATAGTATTGCAAATAATTATTACTTACTTTATTACGTAAATAAGCTGTAATTTTCCTCAATGAAGTAAAATATTCTATGTCGAAGTCAAGTTATTAACTTTTTTATTGCATTGTGGGCGTAATGTTTATTCCTTCTTTGTTGTGATGATTTTCCGATGTCAATGACTCACCGCCTTGTTGAATCTAGTATGCCTTATTTTGTAGTAATTATATAACATCTCGTTTCTACAATTATCTGTGGGTTAAATGTGTTTTAAGAAGATGGTCTTGGCAGCGCACTTTGTATAAACGCGATTTGACTACATGGATATTAAATACATCTGTCTTTATCAGGGTTCGAAGATATTATTAAGCCTTATACTATGTAAACCTTATTCATAGAAGAGACCCGTGCCCAGAAGTAGAACGTATAAACGAATGATGATGACGAAGATGATCTTCACATCTTTTATAATTGAACGAACCGACTCCCCTTTAAGATTCTCCACTTCATTAAACTTTCTTAAAATCTGGTTTTTTTTTAAACGAGTACATCATAGTCATTTCGAAAGAGGAAACAAAAGCAAAACAATCTGAATAGCTTTTCATAATAAAGCTATATTTTTCATTAGCCACTTTTCATTAGATACACACGTTAAAGTTCATAACACAAGTGATTATCTCGCTATTTTCAATTTAGTCTATGACTGATACACTAGAGCTGACATAAGTTGTTTAACAGTACTGTCGATACGAAAAGTTCTACCGGGAAATCGATAGACTTATGAATCTGGGTAACTGACAACGTAATAAACTTGTTGACTTATTTGCAAACAACTTCCATTATCCAGTCTCGAGGTAAGCTTTAAAGTTATGCTAATGCAATATGATTCAATTTGCGAAAAAAACATGCCCTACTTGTTTAAATTTTCTTTTTTTAAATCCTTTATGAATAGCAATGTCACGAATAGTATTCGATTAACAAATTAGTTTTTGTAGGTGACCTGTAACGTCACGAGAGCATTCTGAGCAGGTTTTAAAAAAAGCTAGGAGGAAGAACGGGACTTAAAGCTCGTTCTAAAATTAAAAATGATTCACTTTCAGAATCGCGCAATTGTTTTTGTAAACTGTGTTGTTTTTACATAGAGCTGTGCAATTAATTAGTAGGTAGGTTGACTGTTTTTGTTTGTTTATTCATTCCACTCTTGCATCATGAGTCCTTGGATAGAGGGGACAAACTAATTCACAATCTTGAACTTGGCTATTAAGTTATTATTATCATTTGTGAGTGCTAATTATTTCTTTTCCATGTTTTAAAGCAGTATTTTTGTTTTCTGAAAAATCTAACGAGAGGGTTAGTATAAAGTAATGTTAAATATATTCCGAATTCCGGTAGCGTTAAAATGTAACCAACACAAGTAACTTTTAAAATGGATATTGTTAAGTATACAAAAAGCTATTTCTTTCTGTTGGACTACGAAATAAGGAACGCTTTAAATTATGCCAATGTAAACAATAAACAGTGAGAATGTTTTAGTCATGTTTTTTTTTTTGTTACTTTATAATAATGGTAAGGAATCATGGCCCCATGTGTCAGAGCAATAGTACAGGGATACTTCAAATGTTATATTCCGTAGCCGGTAAAATTTGCTAGGTATATTAAGAATCGCAAATGTTTATAAGGTTACGACGTATCAGAGAGTATGTATGTCAGTTTGAAGATCTTAAATACAAACTTATTTATGCGTGCACGAAAATCTATAATCTAGATATGATATGATATGAATGTAATAATTCTTATATCTGAGGGGCCCTGACACAGCGCCCGACACCCTGAGACATAAATTGACAAGTCCCATGTGCCTGTAATTTCACCCTTACCCTTCGAAACCGGAACGCAGTAATGCTCACATTACTGTTTGGTAGCACAAAAAGGTGAGGTGGCAGTATTTCCCTGGGCGAACTCTTTCACAAGGAGCTCTACTGCAACTGAAATTATTACAAAACATTATTGTGTACTAGAGATGCACCGAGTACTCGTTTGCTACTCGGTACTAGGTGTACTCGGCCGTTTTTTTTACTACTCGTACTCGGTCGAATAACTCGGTTCATGAGAAGAGTTACTCGGTTAAAATAAAGCGTTATAGCTATCAAAAGAGATTTATCACTACAAATTCTAGACAATTGTATTAATACTTAATATTTAACAAAGGCAAGTTATGATGTAGGAATACAAGGCTTTCTGCGCATTCAGGTAATAGTCTGTTCCTCTTTTCTTCATACAAATTATATGCTTCGGAAAATAACCGCTCGCTATACACAGTGCTTGCAGGTGCACATGAAAACACTCGTGCTAACTGTGTCAATTTTGGATACCTTGTTTTATGCACTGCCCACTATTGAAAAGGACTGCTCTCGCAACAATAAACTTTCATTGACATATCGGTCTAATTCTAGAGCAATGGGACTTTTAGGATCATCGCGTTCCGGTTGTAATGAATCGAGTAACTCGGCCGAGTACTCAGCTCGGCAAATGTTAAACCGAGTAATATTCGGTACTCGGTTATTCTTGTAAAACTTGTACTCGGCGCATCTCTATTGTGTACATTATAATGAAAATGACGCATTTAAAGAAGGGTCAAATATGACCCAGTCCCTTCGCAAATGAAACCTATCAGAAATTTGCTTATATTAGATAAGTAAATTCTGTTAAGTTTTTGTTTCCGACTTCAATGTGTAACATGTTCATATTGCCTTTTGTTTTTGCTCAGGCGCATAGAGTTAGGTAATGTATAATAATAATAACAACACCCAATAATAGAAACCCCGTGTTGCGGGTGCCATGGACACACACAGAGACAACCACAAATTACACCCAAACTCGCGAGAGAAGTAAATGTAGGCCTAACAAATATTTCTCCCGGCTCGGGAATCGAACCTCTGAGTGGCAGTTTGGCTTGGTAACCGTTCGGCCACGGAGGCAGTTTGTTCATGTATGAACAAAAGCCTACAACAGTTTCTGTTCTCTATTCTTCAAAATCTATTTTTCAATTGAATGGGCGTTTAGCGCTTCTCCTATTGTCGTATTTTGGGTTTAGGTCTTAGGAGGTTAAAGCGGTTACAAATCTTGTCGTGAAAGGTCGTCGTACAGCGGGGAACCATTATGGTTCTATAGTAGCCTAGCACTCAATACTCAACTCAAAATAAAATGACACTTATGAACCCTGTATTAGGGATAACAATAAGAACAGAGGAAGGCCGAGGTTTCAATTATTAGTCACTAAAATTTTTGGCTATAGAATAATAATATATAATAAGAAATATGTCACTTGAATGTTTTAATTTAGCTAAATTACTATGGCGTATAACTTTATAATACGTATAATATAAGTAAGAATTATTTATTATTCAAATTTATTATATTATTTTTAATTTAAATTGTAGTAGCATTTACGAATTAGATATAATTTTAATTTATTAACAAATATTGAATATTATTCTTCGTTCTTAATATTGGGTGGGAGCTCGTTGAATAATCTCACCGACTACGAATTAGGGCTTGAGATGAATATCTGTAATTGCGATTGTGGCAGAAGCAGGTCGTCAAGAAGTATAGTAGTCAGGGTGTTGTTTAACAAACTTATATATTTCGAGAATATAAGTAGAAAGCAAAGTTAAAATTTTAAATTGTTTGAACGGTCTGCAGCTCTCAGTACACTTTTTTTTGTAATATCAAGTGACAGGACGAACAAGTCGTGCGCCTGATGGTAAGGTACACGCCTGTCCGGATAACAGTTGATGTGCCACTCAGAGCTTTAAATCGCAAAGACCTGAGGGGCACTACCACTGCGCCGGTCACCCTGAGACATAAGTTGACATGTACCGTGTGCCTGTAATTTCACCAGCACCCTTACTGCTTGGCGGCAGAAATAAGTAAGGTGGCGGTACTCACTTCTCTTGACGATGACTTTTCGGAGTACACGAAACAGTGTGTCGTATCGATTGTTTTTGAGTTCTAAGTAGTTATTCTGTGAGTAATGAGTCATAAATGATTTGTAAACATTTTTGGATGCTATTGCGGGACAAAGATCATCAAATTTAACTTCTAAAGCATTGATAAAACATTTATTTGTATGAAAATATCGCAACGTTAAACCTTGTTTCTACCTACCTTAACGTTCGAGCTTCGTTACGCTTTTTCACGTACACGTTTTTCACTTAATAAAAATGAGCGAATGAAGAGTGGCGTGAGTGTGGAATTGAATTATCTTTCCCGAGAATAGAATCTAAAAAAGTCCATTAAGTTTAAAATATCATTAAGCATATTATTATGCTGTCTCAGGTTCTGATTTGAGGGAAATTCAGGACAACATTGTAAAAATGGATGATATAAGTTTAAACAAATGTTTTTGCAACTCGCTGCTAATCACTACCGAGAAATTCTTATACAGAAGCTGACTATATTTTATAGCAACCTGAGTGGAAGATTATTTGGAAATTCAGGGAGTCATACTGTCGGACCGGATTTTATCGAAAGCCAATCGCCTTGGCAGATTCATAATTTATTCGATGGTCCGCAAGGCTTTTTTTGGAACACGGCATTGACTGCAACGTTGACTTTATTCGGTATCGAAACTGATGTAACGGAAAATGCATGAATTTTGGAGTCAGAAAAAAATGGTTGAAGGTAAAGACGTAGCGGGTGGTAGATTTTTGGTGCCGTGTTTGCCTTGACATATTGCAAAGTTTTTAAGGAAATACAAATAATTTTGTGGAAGTTGTAATTCCTTGGAGTTCAATGTATTATACCACCTACTACTACTACTTAGACATAATTTATATAAAACATAGATTATACAATTTAACCCACCACAAAAAACCCCATTACTCTTACTATACATATAATAACATGCTTCACTTAGCTGGGTTTAAATATAACGCATGTGAACTGGAAATGTCACGTACAAAAAATTAAGAAAAGTTATCTAGCTTCACGTACGCACAGAGGGAGATAAGGAATACAACTGACCTGACCATTGCAATGGCCGCTTATTATGCTCACATAAGTTATGGAATTATCATTTGGGGAAATAGTGTGAACGTACGAGAAGTCGAAGAAGAAGATCGCAAGTGCGATCCAA